TTGAACATGAAATGAAACATAACTTGCAAGTAGAATCATAGAAACATAGAATCATAGAATCATTAAGATTGGAAAAGGCCTCTAGGATCATCAAGCCCAGCCATCCACCCAATACCACCATTCCTACTAAACCATACCCTGAAATGCCACATCCACAAATTTTTTAAACACCTCCAGGGACGGTGACTCCACTGCTTCCCTGGACAGCTTATTCCAATGTCTGACCACTCTTTCAGTGAAGAAATTTTTCCTAATATCCAATCTAAACCTCCCCTGATGCAACTTGAGGCCATTGCCTCTCGTCCTATCGATAGTTACCTGGGAGAAGAGACCAACACCTGCCTCACTACAATCTCCTTTCAGGTAGTTGTAGAGAGCAATAAGGTCCCCCTTCAGCCTCCTCTTTTCCAGACTAATCAGCCCCAGGTCCCTCAGCCGCATCTCATAAGACTTGTTGTCTGGACCCCTCACCAGCCTTGTTGCCCTTCTCTGGACATACTCCAGCACCTCAATGTCCTTCTTGTAGTAAGGGGCCCAAAACTGAACACAGTACTCCAGGTGCAGCCTCACCAGTGCCAAGTACAGGGGCACGATCACCTCCCCACTCCTGCTGGCCACACCATTCCTGATCCAAACCAGGATGCCGTTGGCCTTCTTGGCCACCTGGGCACACTGCTGTCTCACGTTCAGCCGGCTGTCGACCAGCACCCCAAGGTCCTTTTCTGGTGGGCAGCTTTCCAGCCACTCCTCCCCAAGCCTGTAGCATTGCATGGGGTTGTTGTGACCCAAGTGCAGGACCCAGCACTTGGCCTTGTTGAATCTCACACAGTTGGCCTCGGCCCATTGATCCAGTCTGTCCAGATCCCTCTGCAGAGCCTTCCTACCCTCAAGCAGATCAGCACTCCCACCCTTGGTGTCATCAGCAAACTTACTGAGGGAGCACTCAATCCCCTCATCCATATCATTGATAAAGATGTTAAACAAGACTGGACACAACACTGAGCCTTGGGGAACAATTTAAAATTGAAAGAGGTTACTAGGGTGTGCAGTGAGGAAGAAAGACAAAAAGGAAAGCTCTCTGCACAGGACCCTGGCCACCTGGGCATGCCTTAGTTCAGAGCTCTCACATAAAATTTCCTTTGGTACCAGTGACTGGTACTGTAGCACCAGCTCTGTGCAAGAAGGAGCAAAAATCCAAGAACTGACAGAAAGAGCACCATCTTCTCATCACTGCCCCCATCTTCTCATCACTCCTCCCACAGACTGGTAGCTAACACCCACTGGCTGCCCTTCCCATCCTCCCCAGCCCGCTCTCCCTCCAGCTTCCTGGCACCACTCTGCTGTGTGCAGTGAGGAGCTCTGCCTGGGCAGCCCCCCATTGATGACCACCCGCTGGCTGATTTTTTAATCACCGGCCTAGTGTAGAATATATGATGGTGTGCAGGCAGTTAACTATGGATAGTCTGGGTTGAAGTCTTGCCTGGCAGAACATCTCATGTGTATGTTGCTGTAAACTACCTGGACTTTTTTGAATTTTGCTCTGGGTACCACAGTTAGAAAATAGTCTGTTTTTTTCCTAACGAAGTACACCTTATTTCTTCAGTTACTCAGTTGATCCCTGATGCGTGAGGTAGCCCTTTCTCCACTGACAGAAAAAAAAATCTGCCGACTCGTCAGAACAATGGTATTTGACAGCAGAATTGTTTGCCTTCTGAGACAATCACAGTTCCCATCAGAAATAATGAAATTTGTGTTAATGAGAAATAAACACTCAGGAGAAATGTCCTTTGGTGGGAAGTTTTTTGGTAGCACACTGGAAACATGCCCCCAAAAAGAGCTCTAATCTTATTTCATTGCACTGCTAAGGCACTCCAAATACATGTCTATGTTACTGTAACAGAACTGCTCGAAGTCTGTACCATGAGTTGTACTGTATAGTTTTGCAGCATTTTGATACCCAGCTCTTCTTTCTAGTTTTCAGCAATGCCATCAAGGATCAAAGACCTTCTTCTCATTCAGAAGGCATACACAGACTTTCTGTGGTACAACATACTAATGCCATATGGTGAAGCTTGTATATGAACACTGGAGTGTCTGGAATGGAAAGCTGCTTCTCTAGAGTAAGTTAAATGCACACGAAATGCTACAGCTTTCATTCGTACTCTTGGAAATCTACCCTCCAGATGAGTATAGTTAAACTGCCTGTAACAAACAGTGCTTGGCCCGTGCTACTTCTTCAGCCATGCCTAGGGGCTTGTTCAGCAGACTGTTGGCTGGCCTGGGGCAAAACCACGTGAGAGATATTTTTCCCGATTTTACCTTAGGGATAATCATAATTCAGATCCCAAACATTTTCTGATATAGTTTAATTCACTAATGTTGAAGTAATGAAAGCGTCTTCACCAGAGAAACAGCTTGGTTAAAAAAGAGTGCTCTCTAATCAGTTTTACAAGGTGATTGAGTGTGGCCAGCATGGAAGATGGAAGCATCTCAGACTCTTCACCGTGTGATGGAATAGATCCAATAACATGCCCAGGCTCTCCTCATGGCCACTCTGTTGGACAAAAAACTTCCCAGAGCTCTAACAGGAGGACAAGATTAATCAATTTGGTGTGGGTATTTATCCGTAAGTAAGGGCACGCTATACGACAAGACCAGTAGAAGCTTTGGGATGTGACAAATATAATGTAATACCTTTGAAGTACCATGAATAAGAAATGCCTCCTCTACCTGCAGAAATTATTAAGCAGCGTCTGAAGTTGTGTGTATAACTCATACGGATGTGTTTATAATCTTCATATATCATTTAAACAAATAATATTATGATACTAGGAAGCTTTTCTTAATATAGATAAATCCAGGAATGATGTCCATACTCTCTTCCCCCTGAGGCACAGAGAAGTTTAGATCTGCTACTTTTTTTCAGTTGCTCCCTAACTGCGATAGCATCAAAGTACCTGAATTTGCATTAATAAGAAGTTGTCACATTTGTGTGCCAGTTTGACAGCATAGCTGTCCAGCAGTGTAACACAGGGCCCAAACAGCCCGGGACTGGGGGAGGCAATGCTCATTCTCACAGGTTGTTTCTTCTCAGGTCTCTCTGTAACAGATGAACACAGCGGGCTACTGGGCCCTGTTGTCAACTATTTGGGCACAGGGGAGAGCTATTCACACACAGGCAAAAGCAGTGGGGAGGAAAGGAAGATGCTGATGAGTGCAGATCTTGTATTTCTTACAGATTTGGCCATCAGAGGAGTGTGCCCTGACTGCTCTGAATTAGCTGTCACTTCTTGAGGTCTCATCTGAGACACACAGCTTCATTTGCCAAGGCAGTGAATATATCTGCCTTACCAAAAAGGTGACTTGTATGCAGGGTTGCATAAGATGTTAAATACTCCACTGCCATAGCAACATTAGCTCAATATGAGCAAAGTTCTTGAGGTGTACGAAGCATGTCTTAGGTAATGTACTTCCCCTGTCAGAGAGAGACATTAGCACAGGCTGGGAAAGGCAGATGCAAGCAGGTTAGAATGAGGTAGAAGGTGGCAGAAAGAGCAGGTGTATCCTTTAAAGGGGGAAAAAACAAAAAGTGGCAACAGCAATGGGCAGAAAAAGGCATAACTTTCCTGGAATTCTGCCTGTGCCGGTTGCAGTAATTATATGGCAGGACGAAGGTGCCAGCTTCTGTGCAACAGCCAGGCTGTGGTGTACATAATTATCACGCAGATGGCTAGAGCCCCATGGGGACCATAGTTTGTGATGACTTTTGCACTCCACTGCTTGTGCCATAACATTATTTTTAAAATCGTGCATGTGCCAGGCCTGGGTAATAGTTGAACAGATGCTTCATCCTGGTTTCAGGACAGCATATGCAGGAAAGTTTCTCCGAGAATCAGAAAGGAGACATTCATGAAGCTATGGATATTCCAGTATGTACGACCTCGTTGAGGTATACATATACTCCTTTAGCCCTGAGAATGCCAGGGACATATAAGTTCAATGTGGGAGTTCAAGGAGGAGGAAGGTACAGAAGACAGTGGGCTCATGTCTTCCCTTGAGAGCCAAATACTTTATGGCTCACCTTATGCAGTGAACTGATGGGTTTGCTCAATTTTTGGACTGGAGAATTTGGATCTGAGATCTGGAGGCCAGATGCTGTTTTAGAAGATGATGAAAGGTTGAACAAGCATGGGCACAATGTGCCTTAGTTACATGGGCCCATATTCTTATAGAAACGTGAAGAGTCCTTCATTAACAGTGTTATTAGTAACATCCACGTCTAACAGTAATTTTTTCATATTTCAGAATATCTTGTATTGATCAGCTACAATAGCTCTCAAGAAAAAACAGCTTGCTCGGAAAGTGAAATAAGTAAGAATGAATTGGCAAAGGACAGTTAGTCACGAAGCTTTTGGTATGCTTAGATACAATACTTGTGTAAAAATAAAGTTGCAGCCTCTCATTTAAATCTACTTCATGTGTCAGTGTTAACATGACCTGTGTGTGTAACCCATCACGGTCAGGCAACTCAGCTGTCTCTGCACCCTTCACAGACTGCTCTGACTCTGCTTTTCCTCACTAGCTTCTGTTTAAACTCCCAATTACTTTCTCCTGTTTTCTTTTTGGCTATATTCTACCTTGAGCTCATCTGTCACCCGAAGTTTCACTTTTTCTGCATGTTCCCCACTTCAGCCAAAGTGTTGAGGTATAACTGTCTCACCCTTTCCTTAAAGTGCGTACACCTAATCTTTAAAGACAGTTGGATATGAGCACAAATTACAGCAAAACAGCTCTCAAAATAGACAAGATTTAAATATTCTGGACAAGACACTCAAATACCTTGCTCTTTTTCTAGCAATTTTCAGTAATTTTGTGGTTGTAGCAAACTCTATCAACTCATCGGCATCACCAGGAAATGTCTTATCTTGCAGCCCTGCTTTAAGCCAGCTCTATTCAGCGTTTTCCATCCTCCTTCCTGCCCTCCCCACCCCAGTGCACACCTCCATATCCTCAGTGTTAGCGTCTGACAGGGAACACCGCTCTGATTCTTGGTCAAAGCTACAGACATTTGCCACTTTTCCAGGACATTCTCCCTCCATCGCTTCCCTAACTCTTCTTTACCTGTCTCGCAAGGTCCCTCTTGCTGACCCCACATTTCTATTTAAAATTTTCCAACCCTTTCCCTTGCCCCGATCCTCTTTTTGCTCCCCCTTTCTTCACCCCTCCTTCTCTGTTTTCCCTGATACTCTTTGTCCTTACCCTACCTCTTGTGTCCTGGCTCTCTTTTGTCATGTAATCATTTTCTCACTTCCACCACAGTTTTGGATCTAACACGGAGTGTCTTACATGCTTTAAAAACCATGAACAGGTAGTACTTCATGCTAGTTAGACAAATACCCGTTAGGTAAAATATTTTGATTTTGTAATGCTCCCTACCAAACTGTCAGACTGGTGTAGATCTGCAGAAAGGACCTGGGGCTCCTGCTGGGTTGCGAACTGCCTGCTCCGAGAGCACAAGAAAAGGTTGTTCTGAAAATCTGTGCTTCTTGCAGCTTCTTAGGTAAGAAGGGGTGAGCTCCTAGACCAGCTACCCCTGTGCGGGGTAGGCAATAAATGTTTCCTGTAGTGGGAGTTTCACAGCTGGCAGAAATACTGAACAAGTAGTCTTCAGCTCTTCTTGCTCTACTTTTGACACCATCAAGTAAAGTTCCCCCTTCGGATGCACAAAAGCTGCACCTGAATGATTAAACAAGGCTGCATATGAACAACAAAGCCCAGTTCTCAGAAGAAAGAAAAGGAAGACAACCTCTGCTCTTTGGGTATTTAAAAATTAACCTACCCATTTCTCTGTCAGATGCAATGCTATCAGTCCTGAGTTCATGGGTTGCAGCGAAAACTGAGTATGACCTAGTTTAATAGAAATAAAGTGTGAAGAACAGCTCCATTTTTTGGAAAAAGTCAGGAAGTTTACAACTAACAGCAACCAGCATTAAAAATCATATCAAAAAATAAATGTTATTACTTTAAAATTAGACACTATCTAAACATTTTCTCTGCAGTTACTGCAGAAAATAATTCAGCTCTGTCATTGCAAGCATGAAGTAGAACAAACCATCTGAAATAGTTAATATAATTTAGTGCAAAGCAATTACATCTATTGCCATGAGAAGCACAATTTACTACCACAGGGAAGTGAAAAAGTCCAATATGTCACAGTAAAATGCAATTTAAGCTGCACATAAATGAGACCTTCCTCACATCCCTGCATTATTCTCTTTGGAAATGGGACCAGAGCTCCCCAGACGAGTGCCCTGCTTGCCAGGTTACGGACCCTTACACCTTAATCTGTGCTTACTCTCCCTTCTCAGCAAATCTGCTTCCTCCCCTTCACAGCAGCGCAACCTCAGCAGGAGGCCTGAAAGTGCAGCCATGCACAGCAGCCTCTTGAGATGAAGAAGGCAGCTACGACATTGCACCCACGGGGTCTGGCACATGCCAAGGCAAAGAGGAGTAGCTGCTTAAAGAGCATGCAGCCCCCCTGGCTATCTGCCCTGCCCCTCCTGTCCTTCTCGCATTGCTGCTGCTCGAAGGCTGGCGTGCTAAACCAGACCTCTCTGGGGACCGCTGGAGTTAAAATGCCAGACAGCGACCTACGATGCGGGTGCATATTCTCCTCTGCTGCCTCTTCTCAGGGGGCAGCCCTGAGCAGAGAAAGGGCACGGGGAGCAAATGATACTGTCTCAAAACCTAGCCCATCTGGCAGCCCACTTGTTACAAGCACATTTGCCCCCCTGGGTCCAGTGCTGTAATCAATAGGCAGCTAACTAACGGGGTCACTCTGCCTCTCGCCACATGGAAGTACACATTTTAATAGAAATGCCAGCTGCCATGTCATCCTGCGAGGAGTCTGGTCTGACCGCACTCTAAAAATGCACTCCAGCTTCAAGCCTTTCCTTGGACCAAGCTACCTTCCTCCCGATTGCCCTCTGCCTACATGGAGATAACATCAGCACACATGGAAATTTGGGGTTTTGAGGACGTTTAAAGATTTACTGTCCTCAGATTTGGTGACAGACAGAAGACTTCTTCTGTGACTGCTTTTTCAATCTCTACTTTCAGTTTAGTTGTCCAAGTCTCACTTCGGATACACATTTGTGATACCAGGATACCCCTCGATTCAAAGTCTAAGAGATGGGGTGACTGAAACATGTTAACTGCTTGCAAGTTGTCTTTGATTACACTGTACTGGCATTACCTAAGAAAGCAAGCTCAGCTCCATTACTAGCACATAATATTTTTCTTTTAGGTTTAAATTCAGGATATATTTTTAATCCAGAATATATTCTCTTCTTCTTGAAATACTGTTCTTTCCTTTAGGAAGAAATTCTTTCTATAATTAAGAGTACCTACAGGTGGATGATTCAACTATTAACAGTATGAGCATCATCTATATGGGGAAAAAACGTGTTTTTTTTCTCAAAGGCTAGATATACTAGAAAACTTAAAAAAAATTGTTTATAAAACTTTTCTGAAGTCCCTTATCCCAAACATCTGCACAGTAGAGTTGACAGTAATCCTATTGCGTCACATTTTTCCACTTTTAGCAAAGCAAGGAACAAGTATACATGAAATCTCAAACTGCAGATCTGAATTATGCCCAGCTTTGAAAGCTGCAGACATTTTGCTGTTTAGCACTTTCCAGTTCTGTATTTCAGCACTGATCTCTCACTGAAACAACTGTGTTTTGTGGTCATCATGTCTCCCAGTAAATCTCAATTGGCTGTATTTAAACCATGCGAAGTGGGGGTGCAGTTGGTTGAACTTGGCATTATACAAGCATGCACAGGGTTAATGGGAGGCCAAGATGTTGACAAGAGCGGTTTTTTTTGAGCATCTAATCAGTAACTACTGTCCCTGGGAACAAAGTGTATCTTAGAGAAATATGTGAGCTAATTAAGATGTTTTTGAACAATTTTGGAACTAACAGCAGAAGAATGATAAAGAGTGCCCTTAAACGAACTATCCTCATTATAATTCCAAAAATCACTTCCCTTGGGCTGGCGACCCCAGCCTAAGCAGAGATCCTTACCTACTGACCATGAGTAGTAAATTTAAAAGTACTGTATCTTTAAACCAAAGTAAGAAGAGAACTAACCAGTCATAGTTAGGAGGCTATGGCTAATAGGTGGAACTAATATTTTAAACTGGTAAATATGCAATCTGACTGTAACCAGGTGTGCTAGCATTGTGGAGTTACCACCCAGCATCCATCTCCGTGCAGACATGAAATAAACTGGTATCTCGGCTCTGTGTGTGTACCAGGTAACAAACTCCTTTTGTAACACAACAAGAGTGCTTCTAATTCCTTAATCCAGATTATAGACAAAGGCCAGACCCTGACTCTGTCTTCTCCTGTCTAAGACTGAAAGCACTTTTTATGTACCCCTCTCTTCATACCTTGATTTCCATGGCCAAAACTAGTTCTCATGGCTGGAGGAAGCTGCTGTGGCCAGGTGCGCTCACTGGTTGATCACGAGAAGGACCGCGGGCTGCATCACAGATCACACACAGGCTATGTCACAGCAACTAGATCAAGCCAATGGCAAATTTTAAATGAAAGGTGAAATGTGACTAAAACCTTTATGAATCCAATTACAAAGCTTTCATTTTAAAAGGTAAGAAACCCACCAAAATGAGCAAGAAATTATTTATTCAAAAACATCTATACAAAATAACACTCTTGGAGATAAACACTTTTACATTTTTAAAGTGCATCTCTTCATTGCTACAATATTTGATTTACTAATTTACACTGTACATTCATAATTTATAAAAAAAAAATAATTGGTGAATATTTTTCCAGTTGGATGTTAATAACAGTGACAGGGAGCACATATTCCATTATAGAAATCACTTTTGAAGTGCGTACATATACAAACTATTCATATTCAGATGTAAAGACAACACTTTGACAATAGCAAGAGTATCACTAGAAAGTGGAATTACAGTATACTGTATGATAATAGGTTCTCTTGTTATAAAAGGTTATTTAAAAGTGCAAAATATATACAATCTGCCTCTATATTACTTCTTAGTTTAATGTTTACTACTTATTAAATCCCTTTCTGACTTCCTGAACTGAACAGATAAAATTACAGTAATTTTACACCATGTAAATCTACAATCATGCACAGGTTGCAAGGCTGCATTTCCAATAAAAAAAAAGAACAAAAGCAAAGCTACACACACAAAAAATACTGTGTTTCAGATGCATTTTTGAATTTGCCAACTGAAATACAAAAAATGTGTATTTCACACGAACGAACACCTTTAAGATGTAAAATATTACGAGTATGAAAAAATATTGTTATTTTTTCTTTGTTTATTAATTATGGGATTACCTGTAAGTAGTTTCCTATACTAAGAAGATCACATTTACGGCATCATTTTGTTACACAATATTTTGGCCCTCAATACAACCTTGAACTAAAAGGGAAAGAAACCTGCAACATGCAAAAAGTCATAGAAAATCAACAACCACTGAACTGTCACACAGCAAGATGAAAAACATTCAAACAGTCTCTGTGTGTCTGCATAGAATTTTGGTATCTGTTTAGGTTTGGCTCTATTATGAACTGCTGAACTAATGCACTTTTAGGACACAGCTAGTGGACTGTCAGGAAACTTTTAATAAGTTTTAGTTATTGTCTGCAAAAAGGTATACTAATTCAAATGTTTGTCTTCTTAAAAATGAACTTCTGAGTTGATGTTGTGTAAAGCTTTAGAACTGAAAATCTTGTGCTAATTACCTGGTATAGCTCACTTGGATTTTCTTCCATGCCAGAGACTTCAGTATACTTGATCTTTCAAAATTTGTGTCAATACTGAAGAAAAGATGATCTTTTCCTTTCAACAAAGAAAGATTTACAGGGTGGAAATAAGGACAAATCAGAGAGGCAATTAGAGAGGAAAACCTGAGTGTTAACGTCACCACTGAAGATTTAATCCTAGAAGCCCTGAGTTCTTATGCAATTCCACCGACGCCCACTGACTTTCAAAGGCATGTCTGGACGTGGTTTAAAACATTTCCTATAAAGTG